GATGTCGACATAAACAACGATCGATGAACTAGAAGTTGAGCGTGGGTTAGGGTTAGGTAGGAAACCACCAGGTTAAAACTTTGTCACCTCTTTGTGGTTTCTTGGTCGTGTGCTTGGTCTCTCTGAGTTTGCATAAGTATTATCACTTTGCAGTGCAAACATTTATAGCTTAGCCGTTTCAAGTAGGCTAGGCCTACATAGCTCAAAGTCATCTCATACAGCAGGGGTATTCAATGCCTCAAGCAAGGAGTTTCAAGAGGTCCGGTCTCTATATTTCCTCCCCAGCAGAGGTCCGGACAATACTTATTTGGAACAGTTTTACATTTCCATCAGGGCAGTCGTAGTTCTTTGTAAACTAAAAAAATCCTTAACACTCAAAATGGTCAACAAAGATGAGAATCTTGGGCCCTGAGAGCCAAAGCGTGATATCTAAAAAAAATTTTTTTAATAATATTTACCAAAATAAGTAATTCTATTTTTTCCAACTGGATATGAGTATAAAGGGTAAGATGAGATGTTTTGTCAGGCTGTTATTATATATATTATTATTATTTTTCTTTTACATTGATACACCTACAGTACGTGTATGGCACATAGAAGGCCTTGTGACTGCGAAAACTAACTGGAGGTCCAGAGTTTACCTCGTAAGAAAAGTATGGACCATTTGTATATTTTGCTCAAAGTAATAAACTACTAAAAAAAAACAACGTACATAATCTAATAATCAAAACTCTCATCATGAGCACAAAAAAAGTTTACTATAATTTCAAAGTTTTTTGTCTTACCTTGCCATCTCTAAATAATTTTCCAAATTCTAACATTGTTTATTATGAAATGCTCTTAATATGCTGATATAATAATGATAAATGTATGAAAAAAATATCTAAAGGCACCAAACCTTGCCACAAACATGGTTAAGTTAAACAGACGGAGTCAGATAAAAAGAATTGTATTTGCTGCATTCTCGTTTTCAGCAAATTTTAGAATCTATTTTGCTGCTCACATCTTGCTGCTGTTGTTAAAATAACCGCGTCATCTGCAGCTCTTAATGCAGCGCTTTACATCTTTAGCGGGAGAGAGAAGCAACACGGAGTGGAAAGGGTTTGGCTCTAGATAAAAATATTAGAGAATGAAGCGCCGAAATATCATTACCATAAACAACCCTGAGCACTTATGGTGTGAACCTCTCTGTTGTTTCGACGCGCTGCTCACTTTAAACTGTAGAAATGGTAAAATGGCGCAATTATGTCCCGCGGCCCGGTTCCAGACCCCAGCTTGGTTCCATCCGGACCGCGGGAAGTAATTGCGCCATTTTAGCGGTCCGCCATTTGAATACCACTCTCATACAGCAATTTAAAGGCATTAAATAAAGTGTCAGCTGTGGTCAATGTACACTTAATATGTAAAATCTTTGATGAGCTGATTGTAATTACACAGTTATATTGTTAATGCTGTTGTAATGAATTGCATTTACATATACTTTACAATACATGAACTTAATTGTAACATAAATTAATACCATCATTTGCAGTAACATTTATGCATAGATGGATTTTCCATGAGTAATTAATGTAATACCTTTAACTGTCCATCAAAACCTCTATTTTTTACATAACATCTATAATTGATAACCCTTACCATCATGTCAATGTATACCACATTTCATATAGTGCACATGTACAATAAACTAATAATCCGGTATATGTATTGATCTGATTAATAACTATAATAATCAGGTGTTTGTCCATTGATCTGATAAATAGCTCTAACTGTGTCTATCTAGATTAATAACTCAACTAATCGGTTGTGTGTCTATTGATCTGATTAAAGGGTTAGTTCACCCAAAAATGACAATTATCCCATTTACTCACCCTCAAGCCATCCTAGGTGTAGGCCTATATGACTTTCTTCTTTCACCCGAACACAATCGGATTTATATTAAATAGTATCCTGGCTCTTCCCAGCTTTGTATTGGCAATGGCATTGAATAGTGTATTCAATGCCATTACCACAGAGGGGAGTTTTTTGAAGCTCTGAAAAGCGCATCCATCCCCATCCATCATAAAAGTAATCCATACGACTCCAGTGGGTAAATAAATGTCTTCTGAAGCGAAGCTATGTGTTTTTGTAAGGAGGATGGAGCACAACAAAACGCCGGTCACAAATTAGAAGTCTAAAACGAAAAGTTTTAAAGAAAAATGTTGGAGGATTTTGAGGAACTATGTCATACGTCAGGTGACGGGTCAGAGGTCACCTTTCTGCCAGAACTCAACTCTCCCGCGAACGCGCGTACAGCCGTTGCCAAATCCAGTGATAATAGTTTTCAATTTGGATATTTTTCTTACAAAAACCCATTGCTTTGCTTCAGAATGCATTTATTAACCCACTAGAGTTGTATGGATTGCTTTTATGATGGATGGATGGATGTGCTTTTTGGAGCTTTAAAAACTCAAAGCTGGGAAGAGGATATAATTTAATATAACTCCAATAGTTTTCAGAAACACAGAAAGTCATATACACCTAGGATGGCTTAAGGTTTATTAAATTATGGGATCATTTTAATTTTTGGGTGAACTATCCCTTTAATAACTCGAATAAGCATGTGTATGTCTATTGATCTGACTAATATACTCTAAAGATCAGGTTTATGCATACCTGTCAAGTATCCCGTTTTGGCCGGGAAAGTCCCGTATTTTACCTTTCTTTCCCGCCAGCCTCCCGTATTAGGATTTTCCCGTAAATCTCCCGTATTTTAACCTGCGTTATTGAAAAATAATAATACCCCGGGCGGAGTAAAAAAAAACATTCCCAATCTGAGCTCTAGCTGTCACTAGCCTCGCGATAACTACAGGTAGGCCTACTGTAGGTGGCAGTTGTCGCGAGGTTAGTGTGTGAGGTCAGATGATGAGTGACAACCCGGGGAAAACAAAAAAACAAACAAAAACAGAGACGGATGATGGACGCTATGACAGAGCAAGGCACTCCTGCCAAAAAAAAATAAATAAACCTCATGTACTAAATACCGCGATCAATGGGATAGCGAATTTACTTTTCTGAAGAGGAGCAGGGTGGGGGACAGTTACGCGCATTTTGTAACTGCGACTTTAGCATCTCACACGGGGAAGGAATGATGTATGTCGATCAGCACGAGAAAGGGGGTTTAGCATGGTACGAAAGATTGTTACAGAGAATAGGATGACGTTAGACAACAGAACTGTTTGCTCTATACTCTCATGTAAAATTAACCACTGTGGCCCAGCCCACAAATACACTCCTTCCAAAACAGTTAATACAAAGTCTGCAACAAATTTGTTCAATAACTCACTAAAAGAGTAAAGAAAAGTTGTGTGAAATGAAAAGAAAAACTGCAAATGAAAAGAAAAACTGTAAAAGAAAAGCAATATGAAATGAAAATAATGTGTGGAATGAAAATAAAATGTAAATGTAAAGACAAGCAATGTTAAATGAACAGAAAATATGCAAATAAGCCTTTAAATAAATGCTCTTAATATATACCCTATATACCATACACACATATATATATATATATATATATATATATATATATATATATATATGTGTGTGTGTGTGTGTGTGTATGTTTTCATTTAGGCTATAACACCTGATGTAAGGGATACTGCTAATGACTGCTCGCGGTGGGCGCCGGAAAATTTCCCTTATTTTCAAATCCAAAACTTGACAGGTATGGGTTTATGTCTATTGATCTGATGATTAATAACTAATAATTAGGTGTATGTCTGCTGATCTAATGCATAACTGTAATAATCAGGTGTATGTCTACAGATATAATGCATAACTGCAATAATAAGGTGTATGTCTACTGATCTAACACATAACTCTGACTGTCAGGTGAATGTGTCTGATGTGATGCATTAGAGACGCAGTATAGACTCTGACCATTAACGTGACTCGTCTCGATCCAGGCGAAGCGGGCCAAGAGGTGCCGTGAACATCGATTTCCAAAATAAACACACCTCTTTTAGATATATAGAGTGATATAAAATTACCGAGATTGGTGATATTTACCTGTTGTTTCCAGTCGCGGCTGTTTTAGAGGTGGCTGTTCGGTTGTTGATCTATCAGCTGGTTATCGGGCTGCGAGCACTTCCTGCACATCTGCGCACGCGCAGTGAACCATACAAATCAAATAATCTGTAGAGATTTATATTTATTTTCATTCCTAATGTAGGTATAAGTAATAATGTATGGGCAGTCTTAATATAAGGTTAATCTTGTTTCTCGTTTGCAGTGACTAAACGATGTAAAACTGTATAAAATTACATACATCGTTACCTTAGTTCTTATACAGGCCTTTACAGTTTATTTTGAAAGAAAATAAATATGAAATAAGGTCACATGCAATAAAATACAAATAAAATAAATAGTCTATTGTCTCTTAAATTAAACTAAATTGACTAACTTTTATTTTGAAATCTGGAGAAGGAACGTGTTCAGTGTTTCATGTTATCAACAAATAATTCAAGATTATTAAATAACACCCAATATTATTTGATCACCATGATCAATAATACTAAGTAATTGTATTTTAAAATCATTACGCGTTGCTAGAAAAAAAGTATGAATATGAATAAAAAAGTAAAAAAATATGTTTGTATGTGTACATCCTGTGACTTTTATATTGAAATGAAGCCGGGCTCCAAATATAACAATTTGTGTTACGTCACGTGACGCAGACATGGCAACCGCTCAGGAACAGTTGTTCTGTTTTATCGTTGTTTGTTTTCTTAGAGATAATAATGCTGTAGAGACGTTACATGTTCATTAGACTTTAAGTACTTTATTATTCTAAAATGATGGTTTGGTGATTGTCTGGACATCTAACAATGGTAGAGTGAATAAAAAGAAGAAAACAATGAAGTTTTGAGCGGCACAGCAGCGCGCGTTCGCGAGGCTTCTCTGTTTGGGATCGGGTCGCGTGCGCGCGTGTGTGTCAGCGTCCTTTACAGTCTATGGTCAGCGTGGATATAATTTGAAAGCGTTTCAGTTTAAATATAGATTTGGATGTTTATGTATATTTTAACCCATGAAACAAAGAGGACCACCGTTTGAAGCCGTAAAACTTTCAATGGTCAGGTAAGGAGAGTGAAAGCTAAGTCCATTATCACTGTGTTGGTGTAGTTTTGGAAAAGATGTGGTTAAACTTGTCATAAGTTTAACATTAATATTGGTACATGTGCTGGAACGTAATATTGATTTCTGGGGCAAGGAAACCATTTTTTTCTCCATTGTATAACGTTACATACAAAAATTATCATTTAATTAAGTAGAAATTGAATTTTGCTTTACAGCTGAGTGCATTTGACATAATAATACACTTCAATCACAATGGAATTGATAAAAGATCAAAAGAGAAGGCATAGCCTATATTATACAATTGTTCGTGTTAATGGGAAAGTTTCCCATTCATAAAATGAAAGAATATTACTCAAAACCAAATATTTCGCACTTTAATGTCCCCAACTAAGCAAGCCAAAAGCCAATGGCAACAAAGGTGAAAAAGGCGACAGAGATCTAGATCTGTCTCAGAGTGGTTAGATATATGGTGACATTCCTACCATGACTTTTTTCGATTTGTATTGTTACTGTCGCTAACCTTCCCTGCCCATCTCTTAATATTCAGATTATTATTACTTTTAACATATTATGCAATTTGCCAGCCAGTACATTATCACTCATGCAAGTACATTATGACTGCCACTTTAATGGTGATTTCTCCTGACCCAGCTCATTCATTTCAACAAATCTGTTTTCTTCTATAGAAATGGACAAATACACAGCATGTGTATGGCCACGTCTGGAGCCCTTTATGATCGGGGTGCTTCCCGCCACACCTCCAAGCAAATTCAGCATGCATTATCTGCGCAAGATGGCCAGTTACGTCCGGACACGGGATGGCTGTTTCCCCAGGCTCGGCTGGCACATGTGGCGACACATCGCTTGTGGCAAACTGCAGCTGGCAGAGGAGCTTGCCTGGCTGTATTTTGAAACTTTTGATCTCTTAATGCCCCGTTCTGCAGAGCAGAGATTAGAGTGGGCAGAAGCTCTATCTCAAAGCCACAGTCCTAAGGAACTTGACAGACAGCATTGTAAGGTAATAACAAAATGTTGTAGTGCCGTTAGACAGAATTGCAGATCTGCTGTACTAATGCTTTTCTCTGTCTTCCTAGCTGTCAGTAAACACTCTGCAGTTTCTACTCTTCCTGTATCTGCAGCAGCTGAACCGAATCTCTCTCCGCACATCACTGATCGGGGAAGAGTGGCCAAGTCCGAGATCACGATCTCCCTCTTCCTCATCTGAAAGAGAGACCAAAATAAGCTCCCAAAATAAGGTGTGTGTGGGTGAATCTTATGAAAACATGAGTCGTATTTCACCATAAATCAAAAGAAAAATAGAAAAAACTTATTTTAAAAGCATGAATTTATTGTTTGCATTGACATTATTTTCATGACCTATTCAATACAATAATACAGTGTTTTTGTTTGTGTGTGTATTGTGTTCATTACAATTTAGAAGTTTATGTGTATATATATATATATAAATATATACAGGTCCTTCTCAAAAAATTAGCATATTGTGATAAAGTTCATTATTTTCCATAATGTAATGATAAAAATTAAACTTTCATATATTTTAGATTCATTGCAGACCAACTGAAATATTTCAGGTCTTTTATTGTTTTAATACTGATGATTTTGGCATACAGCTCATGCATGAAAACCCAAAATTTCTGTCTCAAAAAATTAGCATATCATGAAAAGGGTCTCTAAACGAGCTATTAACCTAATCATCTGAATCAACTAATTAACTCTAAACACCTGCAAAAGATTCCTGAGGCTTTTAAAAACTCCCAGCCTGTTTCATTACTCAAAACCGCAATCATGGGTAAGACTGCCGACCTGACTGCTGTCCAGAAGGCCATCATTGACACCCTCAAGCAAGAGGGTAAGACAGAAAGAAATTTCTGAACAAATAGGCGTTCCCAGAGTGCTGTATCAAGGCACCTCAGTGGGAAGTCTGGGAAGGAAAAGGTGTGGCAAAAAACGCTGCACAACGAGAAGAGGTGACCGGACCCTGAGGAAGATTGTGGAGAAGGACCGATTCCAGACCTTGGGGGACCTCCGGAAGCAGTGGACTGAGTCTGGAGTAGAAACATCCAGAGCCACCGTGCACAGGCGTGTGCAGGAAATGGGCTACAGGTGCCGCATTCCCCTGGTCAAGCCACTTTTGAACCAGAAACAGCGGCAGAAGCGCCTGACCTGGGCTACAGAGAATCAGCACTGGACTGTGGCTCAGTTTTGCATGTCATTCGGAAATCAAGGTGCCAGAGTCTGGAGGAAGACTGGGGAGAAGGAAATGCCAAAATGCCTGAAGTCCAGTGTCAAGTACCCACAGTCAGTGATGGTCTGGGGTGCCATGTCAGCTGCTGGTGTTGGTGCACTGTGTTTTATCAAGGGCAGGGTCAATGCAGCTAGCTATCAGGAGATTTTGGAGCACTTCATGCTTCCATCTGCTGAAAAGCTTTATGGAGATGAAGATTTCATTTTTCAGCACGACCTGGCACCTGCTCACAGTGCCAAAACCACTGGTAAATGGTTTACTGACCATGGTATTACTGTGCTCAATTGGCCTGCCAACTCTCCTGACCTGAACCCCATAGAGAATCTGTGAGATATTGTGAAGAGAAAGTTGAGAGACGCAAGACCCAACACTCTGGATGAGCTTAAGGCCGCTATCGAAGCATCCTGGGCCTCCATAACACCTCAGCAGTGCCACAGGCTGATTGCCTCCATGCCACGCCGAATTGAATCAGTCATTTCTGCAAAAGGATATTGACTATTGAGTGCATAACTGAACATAATTATTTGAAGGTTGACTTTTTTTTTTTTTGTATTAAAAACACTTCTTTTATTGGTCGGATGAAATATGCTAATTTTTTGAGACAGGAATTTTGGGTTTTCATGAGCTGTATGCCAAAATCATCAGTATTAAAACAATAAAAGACCTGAAATATTTCAGTTGGTGTACAATGAATCTAAAATATATGAAAGTTTAATTTTTATCATTACATTATGGAAAATAATGAACTTTATCACAATATGCAAATTTTTTGAGAAGGACCTGTATATATATATATATTTGTTTTTAAATGAATACTTTCATTCAGCAAGGGTGCATTAAATTGATCAAAAGTGACAGTAAAGAATGTTGTTACAAAATATTTCTATTTAAAAAATATATAAATGCTAACCGTTCTATTTATCAAAGAATACTGAAAAAAGTAGCACAGTTGATGGTAAGAAATGTCTCTTGAGCACCAAATCAGCATATTAGAATGATTTCTGAAGGATCATGAGCAGTGTTGGGGAAGTTACTTTTAAAAAGTAGTGGAACTCGTTACTCCTTTAAAAAAGTAATCCGTTACTTTACTTAGTTACCCCATATGGAAAGTAACTTTTTACATTACTCGTTTCTTTTACGTTACTTTTATGTTGCTTGACTTTGGGCAGAACCCAATATCTGTTCCTAAATGTGTAGGCCTACATAAAGTTCTACTATGCATAATGCCATATATAATCCCATAAATTCATAATGCATTTATCAAACTTTTGAATATTTATGAAGAAATGCCCGTTAATGGATAGGCATATGCATGGGCGGCGCTAGGGAGGGGCTAGAAAGAAAGCCCCCAAGAAAGACCAAAGCACCCCAAAAATAATTTCTGGAAGCAATTATATTCAGGCTGTATTCAATGGAAGTCCTGAACCGCATATACGTGTTGTTGTAGCCGTTAAATAAGCGCATTTAGTTTCATATTTGTTAAAATATTATAATGTTATTTTTTTCCATCTATGTTGATTATGAAAAGTGAACAGCATGAGTAAGATGGATGCGCAATATATCGGGAGACATTCGGTCAGACATGATTTTGACCACTTCATTAAGTTTTGTTTTGAAGAAAGCCTTTCTTTAAAGTGAATTTCATTTTGTATAAATTATCGTAATTTTAATCAATTTTTTATCAACCAATTGCCTGGATTTAATAAATAAGCAAATATAGCAGACAATATAATCATGACATGGAGGCGCGGTACTCACAGACTTGAGAAATATATCTATATATAGAAAGCTTGAAATGTCTTTAAAAGAAACAATTCAAAACGAAAAGAAATAGGCTACTCTCTGATTATGTAATCCATTATGTCCATTTCTCTCTGTAGGCGTTCACGGAGATGGCGATCGCTGTCAAATGACGGAGATCGCTGTCAAATCTGTCCCTGGGAAAAGTAACGTTGCGCTGAATTGAAAAAGGAACTACGTTTCGTTACCAAATTTTCAGTAGTAGCGCATTACACTACTTTTTACCCGAAAAAGTAGTTACGTTACACACAACACTGATCATGAGACACTGTAGACTCGAGTAATGATGCTGAAAATGCAGCTTTGCCATCACATGAATAAATTACTATAAGTAATATTTTAACATATTAAAATAGAAAAGATGTATTTTTAAAAAACGTATTTTCAGAAACATAAAAAAAAAATCGGACCGACCCTAAGCCTCTGAATAGTGTATGTGTATGTACAAATAGTTAACAAATGTATATGTAAGGAATAATTGAATCCGGGCCATTGAATTATTCGAAAAATAATGCACACTTATTCGAGGTGATAATGCAGGTGTACATTATTTTTCAATTATTCAATAGCCCAGGGTCAATTATTCCGCTTATACTACGGTTACCACACCTCAAAACATTGTTCAGATGATGTATTTCAAGATATTTGTCAGGTTTTCGTCCTTAAAATGCTCTTGTTTTGGGACTAATTTCTTACGCATTTAATCCCAAGCCTCCGTTGCTAATTCCAAAACGTAATTTTAGAAAAAAACAGTAGGTTTCACCCACTGATGGTGGACTGTTGCAGTTATTAGAGAGAGAGAGAGAGAGAGATTAAGCGTGTCAATTATCCGAGTCTGTGTTCGGCAGCAGTGTCTTAACTGTAAGTTTATCTGCTCCAAGAACAGAGCTGTTATTACCTCAATTGTGAGAAATGTCATGTAGCTTTTTAATTGTTAACCTATTTTACTGATCAAATCGCCAGAGCAGCGCTGACAACACGTTTTTGTGTGAGTGTGGCTACAGTATCTGTATGTGCGTTGAGAGAGAAAGAGAGTTGGAGAAAGAGTATGTGCTTTTCGTATATAAAAAAACGTGGAAATAATTTGTCGTTTTTATCATATTTACTATTTATTTGCTTGGTCAGTCTCATTGTGGATTTGGGTTCTTTTGCTGTAGGAATCTGTAAGGACCTTTCAAATAACTGAAATAATTTGGCGATGTGATTTGGAACTGTAATGCGGATAAAGACCTGCCTGGAACTACTTAAGTGTTTCCCTTAAAATAATTGCACATCTTAAAACGTTCGTCAACTAATCAGATTCAAGCATTCAACAGCCCTGTAGTATAAAATAAAAATATATATATTTATTTATTATTTTATTAATAAAATTTGAATTTGGAGGATGTGCTTAATTGTCATGAAAATAATAATAAATAATTTGAATATTAAAAGACATTAATAATATTTATTTTATTGAAAAATTATTGAATTTTTTTGGTGTAAGGCTTGTGTATAGAGAGATTTCCACCTGCATAATTTGTTTATTTTTTGCATAATAGTTAATTTATTCATTCTGTTTTACCAGAACTGGGACGACCAGGCTCATCTTACTTTCATCCAGACACACTTGGCTGAGCTCTTGGAGTTGCTAGTTGAGCCAGGCCAGCTGAGCAGTTCAGGACAGGTTCTGCGTGACAGCCAGCTCACTTCAGAGGCCATAGAGAGCCTCAGTCTGCTGCTGGAAGGTTCTGTGAGCCACAGCCATACTGTGCACCCAATCCACAAGCTCCTTACCCGCTCAGCACTGCAGTCTCAGGCGGGATTCTCCAAACTCAGCCGCACTTACTCTCTGCAGCAGTTCCAGGGGTTTCTGCATCAGGCTCTCTGCCTCAACCCTTTCGGTATCTCCACCTTCTCACAGTCAGGCAAGAAACTGGCATGGTCCATGCAAGGTAAACTGGAAGTTCTCATCAAGGAAATAAAGTTGTAGGTGTTATTTTATCTTAAAGTTTCCAAATCAAACGTTCTTTAGGAATGTTTGTGGAATAGTTTCATTGAAGTTGTATATGAACGGAAACACACATTTTTCAATTGCAAAGTCGTTTACACAGAAATGCTAAAGGTATAGTTGCAAAACAAAAACAGCCTGTTTAATAAAATGACTTGAGGGAGAGGGAAAAATGGTAAATTCCAAAACTGCAAAAACGTTGACTAATATTAGAGATGCACCGATCGACTGGCTAGGGACCGGAATCAGACGACTTTCTGCATGATCGTCCGTTTTGTTGCCAGTGGCACAGGCAATAACGCCAGCTGCACGTTCTCGCTCTCTTCTCTCTGACGGCGAAGTGACACACCCGCCTCCTTTCACTCACTCGCCTCATTCGCTCCGGTTAAATAGTGCTTGTATTGTGCATAATTTTACTATTTCCCGCAGGTTTTACACTCTCACCAAAAGCGTGCACACGCACCACTTATCTATATAAGTGGAGCGCACATAAAGCCACCTCTTGTGGGTCAAGTACCAAAATGAGTGGCTTACTACGCTTCAACGGTCAAATACACACATAATTATGTCAAAATGCCCATCTTGGCGAGTATTCGGTTAAACACAGTCAGTTTTGGAACCTAATAAGTTGAGAAAGATAACGCAAGTTGTGTAACAGTATATTGGTTCGCTCTTAAAGTGACACATAGCAGTCTAATATTCCTGCTGTTGTCTTTCATGTTAATAAAAGAACAAAAGACAAAGAAAATCACTCTCTGCTTTTGACTGAATAGCTTTTGCAACTAATTGTAAACATTAATCTGTATTTATTTTTTTCAATGAAGACTATCCAGTGTTTTTTTTTTTGTTTTTGTTTTTTACATTTGATTAGTTTTAATTTCTGTAGTATATCTTACCTGAATATACTGTGTATACCCACCTGAAAAACTTAAAGGGTTAGTTCACCCAAAAATGAAAATTCTGTCATTAATGACTCACCCTCATGTCGTTCCAAACCCGTAAGACCTTCGTTCATCTTCGGAACACAAATGAAGATGTTTTTTCAATGAAATCCAAGAGATTTCTGACCCCTCCATAGACAGCAACGCAACAACCACTTTCAAGGCCCAAAATCTCTAAGTGAACCTCAATGGGAGAACTGAAGGAAATTTATATTATGACTTTAGCTTGAATTGATGGATGGTTTACCTAATTAGTGGCATCATTAACTCTTCACATTTTGTTTTGTAGTTGAGGGCACCTTGAAGAAAGCCAAAATATTCAGAAATACCCACATGGCTCCTCCAGGAAGTCGACTGGTGCTCATGTCGCACGTTTGCAAACAGACATTGGCCAAAGACTCTGAAAAGCTGAATGATGCTAACATCAAACTCCACCGCTGCAGTGAGGCTTTCATCTACCTTCTCTCTCCTCTGCGGTGAGGAATCACTTTGCTAGAATAAAATAAATGCATTATTTTTTGTCAATTGGGTATCAAAAGCCCTTTTTTTTTGTACGTTCCATGATAGAAGATTCTCTCTGTCAGTCTATTATATATTATATCATAATATTATACATTTATATAATTATATATTTTATTTTATAATAATTATTAGTTCACTGTCTATATTGTTAACATTTGTGTATTGTAATTATTTTTGAACTAAAATATATTTATAGTATAGCTCCAATATATTTATTGTATTTATGTATTTGTTTTTGTTTTTTACAAAGATTAACCCTAGTTCAAGTCTTGCATTATTAATTTGGTTGTGAAATTTTATTGTAAGTTCTTAATAAGCACCTGGGCAATACGTTTGTCATTATTGTCATTTTAAGACCATTTGCAGTATCTTATAACTCCTTTTAAATATGGTTATTCATTTGTTTGTTTAGATTTTTTTTAAACCGTTTTAACCCTTTCCTTGCCACAAAAAATATCAGGCCTTAGATGCTGACATGGAATAAAAAAGTAAAATAAATGTGCACTAGTCAATGTGCACCACACTAATGAAAAAATCAGTTGTTGGATGACTAGTCAACCATCCTGTCATATTTCTAATAATACCAGCAATGGATAAATCCTTTCCTTACCAGGACTTACAGTCAAAATAAATGCTGATCAATAGTCTGCTGTCAATTAGTCTTTTTCGTTGTGTTTGTTTATTACTGTCAACATCCGTGCAAAACCAAGTCTTTATCTTGCAGGTCTGTGACCTTGGATAAGTGCAGGAACAGTACAGTGGTCCTCGGCCCGGTGAGGACCAGCGTCCACATTCAGAGCTGTGAGAACGTTCGTGTGGTGTGTGTGGTTGGCCATCTGATTGTAGGCGGCTCCTTTCACTGCACAATCCATGCCCTCACCCCTACTCGACCCCTTCTCCTTCCTGGAAATGTGTCTCTCACTCTGGGCCCCTTCCACACACATTACCCTACTTTAGAGGACCACATGGCTAGTGTAGGCCTAGCTGTGGTTCCCAATTTATGGGACCAGCCACTGCTATTCGGAGCAGAGGGTTCCACTTCAGACGCAGGCTGCTACCACATCCAGCCCCCCTCTGAGTTTTATCCGCTGGTGATACCCTTCCAAATGGAGGGGGATAACTGTGAGTTCCCTTGGGACCTGCCGGCAGACTACCAGAAGGCTGTGGAGGGCAGAGAGAAGGCGATAGAGGACTGGCAGAAGACCGTGAAGGAAGCACACTTGAACAAGTGAGTCCACTTTTCTGTTCCTTTTAAGGCTGCATTTTAATGCATTCTAGATCTGTGGCATCACGCTAGTCGCTAGTTATTGTCGACTGGGTTTGTGTGTGTGTGTGTTTCATGACAAAAGATTATTTTTGTTTATTATAACAAAATATATTACATTATATGTTTATGTATTTTTTTATTATATTAATATACAGTACTATTTTTATATTTTTAGAAACAGCTTTGTTGATTTTAATGCATTCTAGATCTGTGACATTGTGGCGTCTATTTATCATCCATCTATTGTAATAAAGTATGTGTTTGTATTTTTATTATATTAATATTTATTATAATTTTGAGGGGGGGAGGGATTATATTCATTTTCTCTTAGATCGACAGACAGACAGATGCATGCTATTTGGGGTTATACTAAACACAAATTTTCTTTATGCATATATAGGTATTTCTAATAGGCATATATAAAAGTTAAATAATGTTAGAGTGGATCTTTTATATTTTACAAAGATTAATCGTAAATCAAGATAATTCATTATTAAATCGGACATGAAAATTTAATGTAACTCCGTAATAATAACCTGGGCAATAAGTTTGTTCTTTTGCGACATTCAGTAGTGATGCATTGTGTCTTTGCTGTCGTAAAGGGTTCAGAGGCGGCAGTTTCAGGCCTTAGTGGAGCAGAAGTTTCATGAGTGGTTGCTCGAGACGGGACAAAGACAAGAGCTAGACAGTCTTCTCCCTTCTGTCCTCACCTCCTCCACCTCTTTGGACCACTGGCCTTCAAGCCACACTTCCAACTCTGGACTAAATGTGCTGAAAGATCAACCACCTGAACAAGCAATGGGACGGGCGCCAACAGTTTGCTAAGAGTGCAGCTAAACAATCAAAACCCTCACTTTCCAAAAACTGTTTCTCAAACATTAGTGCTCTTCCAGTACAAAGGCTGTCAAAAACAATTCATGTATATAAACAATGCTGTATTTAGACAAGGTCATTGTGTCCTTTTACACTGTTGACGTCTAGAGAAATCTATGCTGGATTAGTTTGTAGAGTTGCTGTGGTGTGTATTATTGCTGCAGGTGTTTGATAGTTTAAGCATAGTTACTTATTGTTATAAGACATCAGTCATTCCAGAGCTTAATATGTATAAAATATCACCAGAAGAGAGTCGTTATTTAATTAAATCGAAAAAGGGAATGATTACTGCCCTCATATGAATTTAGAGAGAACAGGGAATGAGATGTGTGTAGTCATGTACTGTAGTAATAGACAAATGTGTCATATGCTCAACTGGTACGTGGTGTAACAAAGAGTTTGCAGCTATTGTCTCCTGAAATCTCACGGCCAGTATGAATGTGTACTTTTTTTCTTTTCTTTTTTCTTATGTATGTTCACAATGCCTTACCCTGTAATTGCACTATTACTGTATCTTCACAATACAGATTCCAAAAATGCCGTCACTTAAAATGTCTCTTGGATGTATTCATGAACATTTGAAATATGTTTGAACGAGCATTGTATTTGTACTAACAATACAGTTTATTAAAGGTAATATGGTTTGGGTGTTTAATAAACATGCCCTATTTTAATATTCAGTTTCAGGTGAACAAGTAAAGAAATGCTTTTTGGACTTGACTCCAAACATGAAAACTGAACATTGTGACCATAGCAACACCCGCCTTTCTTTCTTTTGAGCTTTAATGGCCATATCGAATCAATAGCGATTGGCTTTGGCTTTCTGAATGGAATATTTGTGAAATGTGTTGCCATTTTAAAAAACAAATCATCATGTTTCATATTTCACCTAAGTATGGTATGTGTGCTGTCTAGTACTTTATAGTATGTGCTGGATTTGACTGTAACTTCAACTATTGTAGTATTTATTCATATTTTGAAAGAACTTACATAATTTTAGTATATTTAAAAATATGTATACATAGAGGTTCTGAAATTTTTCAAACTCATGCTGGTTAAGCTCTGTGCAAATACATTACAGAAGCAGCATCTTTTGAGCCACCACATCAACACCTCTAATCAGGGGGGCGGGGGAACGGGTTCTGACAGCTGCATTGCTAGTCATCAAATTCTGAAGTCAAAAAATCTAATTGCTAGTCAAAAAAATTCATTTTTCTTACACGCATAGGTCCTAATATTTATCAAACTGATGCTGGTCAAGCTCCATGCACATACAGGATAGAATCAGAATCTTTTAACCCTTGTGCTGCATTAGGGACATTTTTGGTCATTTGCAGTTTAATTTCTTTGACCATTTTGGCTGTTTTAATGCAAATGGTATGTAATTTGGCAAAATTGTGACTTTTTGGATAAATGTAAAAAATGTGATCCCATTTTGCAAAATATGTATAACACACACTGTGTAGATCAAATAGTAACACTCAGCACCATAATGACCAAAAATTGCCCATTGAAACCCATTAAAACGTTGTTTAAAGCCAAGGCCGTCATTAATACATGAATCATGATTTATGTTGAAACATCCTTTCATTTTGAAGCAAAAGCATTATATTTGCATTATATAGTGTATTCCACCAGATGACGTCACTACATATGTATTCCCTATGGGTGGAAATGCATGTTATTTTCCTGGTTTCCACTAGGGGCACCATGGAGTGTGTTATGAAGCATTTTAATGGCTCAATGATCTAAAATTATGTTTCTGAGTATGTGTAGATGTCTGAGAGCAATGTGTGTCTGTGTTGACAAAAGTGTGTGTGTGTAGGGCCTAAATGGTGTTTATGCGAGTGACAAATCACAATATCCTAAAGGTCATATTTTACCCTTTCTGTCTACTCTCTCTCTCTTTCCCTCTCTCTCTCTGTGTGTGTGTGTGTGTGTGTCAGTGGTGTAGGATGTGTGTGTAGGCGTGTGTGTGTGTGTGTGTGCGCATTTAGCTAGAGAAAGTGCTTCTCATTGCATTGTTTTCTTTCGGTTTGATTCATGCGTATTTTACGCACAAACATGAATCTTTTGAATTTTACGCATCTTTGACACAGCTACGTTTTTTTTTAGCAGTCTAAGTTTCAAAGTTAATTGATAACTTCTCACATATGTAGAGGCATAAACACAGCCATGCAGTCAGTCCTGCAAATGTTTATAGAATACATTTTTTTTATAGAAAAAATTACAATTCATGTTCATGGTGATCTTGTAGTTTTGCTTTAGCAAATTGTATGTGTAGTGAGACAGGCACAGGTTATAATCACCTAGTAGAAATCAGGAAAATGTTTGCAGTACTACAGATGCAGTATGTCAATTATATTAAAAATGGTACCAACTGGTGGAAAACAGTAAAAAGTAAATATATTACCCCAAGGCTTGGTAATGGCTTGGTATTTGAATAGAAATTATGATTTTATGATATTATGACAGTGGGTTCAAAAATGGATATTTTGATGGGTTCAAATAGGACCAAATTTGTCCTTTTTTAAAAAATCTGACATAGCACAAAAAAAACAAAAATGCACCAAATATAATGTTGCTGCTAATCTTTGGCATATTCAAGACTGTGATAATCCAAAGCCAAGGGTTTTACTTTGCATTTAGTGTATGGAAAATAATTACATTTTTGTGTTTTTTCCTCTTATACAAATTGATGGTATCGCCACCAAAATTGGTATTTAAAGGGTTAAAATCCTGAAATTAAATAAATATTTGGTAGTTATTATGAGGACTGATGCTGGTTAAAAGATTTAACTCAGTAAAAGTGGAAAATAATAATAATATATAATAATTTAGGCAGTGTTTAATATGTGACCATTTTTGGTCATTAACGTGCTGAGTGGGATTTTTTTTTTAAATCTGACATAACAGAAAATCTTTAAATGCACCAGAAATAATGTTGCTGGTAATCTTTGACATATTCAAGACTGTGATAATCCAAATCTAAAGTTTTCTCTTTGCATTTAGTATATGGAAAATAATTAAATTTTTGTGTTTTTTCCTCTTATACAAATTGATGGTATCGCCACCAAAACTGGAATTTAAAGGGTTAAAATCCTGAAATTAAATACATATTTGGTAGTTATGATGAGGACTGATGCTGGTTAAAAGATTTAACTTAGTGAAAGTGGAAAATAATAATAATAATATATAATATTTTAGGATGTTATTGAATATATGACCATTTTTGGTCATTAACGCGCTGAGTGGGATTTTTGAAACTGTGAAGTGAAACTTGACGGCCCAGAAAGTCATTGAAGAAAATGTTTAAATATTTCATGTGCCTAGAGTGGCTCCACTATAAGTTTATCAAGCGACGAGAATACTTTTTGTGCGGAAAAAAACAAAAATAACGACTTTATTCGACTATTCCATTGCTTCCTTGTGGGCCTGAGACGAGAGTTCAAGAGATTTCCAGGACGCATGCGCGAGAACTGACGTTCTTCTGCTACTACTATGTACAGCGCGCGTCTTCCTCAAGGGGGTAATCCATCGACCGGAAGTTGAAGCCGGCCGGGTGCCGCCATGTTGTAGCAGAACTTCACTTGCGTTAGCATTTCCATTGACTCCCATTCATTTTGGCGTCACTTTGACAGCGAATAACTTTACATCTGAGGCGTTTAAAGACTCCATTTGTCCATTATTTATTTCTAAAGAAACACGACAATGTATAAAGGGCTCCATTACCTTCTATGTTACATTATGGCCCCGTAGAAACAGATTTAGTAAAAATAGGCTAACGATTGCGTCATAACCACTCGACTCTCTGTCGCGCTGTACAGAAATTACCGTACAGCCAGGAGGAGAAGCTCGCAGTCAATCGGGGGGACGTCCCGTCAAGGGAGAAGCCCATAGATAATGAGTCCATAAAAGCAACGGAATACTTACTCCTGCTCACTCACGCCAAAGAACTCTTTGCTCTAGTTCCCCGTCTCTGCAAGATTAACGTTGGCAATTTTCACGCACAGCTACTAGAAGATTAACGTCTGTCAGACAGGTTGCTCACGTCATCAAGCTTAGTTTGAGTCGGTTTGAGTCTGCGCGTCAGGAACGGAAGTGCTCAAAAATCCCTAAAAATGGGCTTCAACTGTCTCAACTGAGTTCCAATGAGATGGCTCTGTCCACTTCTTATACTGTCTATGGTCTTCCTCTGCTTGTAAGACACGCGCTGTGTAGTAGAAGAAGAACGTCAGTTCTCGCGCATGCGTCCTGGAAATCTCTTGAACTCTCGTCTCAGGCCCACAAGGAAGCAATGGAATAGTCGAATAAAGTCGTTATTTTTGTTTTTTTCCGCACAAAAAGTATTCTCGTCGCTTGATAAACTTATAGTGGAGCCACTGTAGGCACATGAAATATTTAAACATTTTCTTCAATGACTTTCTGGGCCGTCAAGTTTCACTCCCTTAGGAAGCCTATGGGGGAGTGATCCACCTCTCAGATTTCATCAAAAATATCTTAATTTGTGTTACGAAGATGAACGAAGGTCTTACGGGGTTGGTACAGCATGAGGGTGAGTAATTAATGACTTAATTTTCATTTTTGGGTGAACTATCCCTTTAAAGCAAGCCATTCATTCGTAATAACTCATTTACAGAAATTGAGCATGCATTAAGTTTTTGGGATGATTATCTGGGCCAGTATATATGCGGAAAAGATGATAAAGACTCAAAAGCTGTGTTTATGTTTAATTCAATATCTTCATTGTTACTTTCCCTGTGTAGCCTACATGTTATCAGCTTTCTCTACCATGAACGGGATTATAATCGATTTCGCTCAATACCTCATCATACTCAAGGATTGCCCTTCCGTCGGGACAAAATACAGTGACATAAAAGACCAAACTCGCACCTTATTGGGAATGTAGGCTGTAGGCTACTATATAGGCTACAGGCAAGCAGATGGACTCAGAATATGAATTTAATGCGCAAAGTTTCATGCTGAGCGTTTCCCAGTGATATACTGGCATAAAATTGGCTTGACATTGGACATTCGCACATTTAGGGACCGTCTCTAAAGTTGCATACAACATTGGTATACACGTTTCTAACTTCAATAGCAAACTTCAATTTATTTGAATATCAAAAATCTAAAAGATGCACATTATGCCTGACACCTACATGAACACTTTACAGTTGGTTTTATGACTGTAAGTCATTCTCTTCAAATGCCATTGAAGTTAGAAATGTTGAATATGTGCCTCTTTCATGTTTGAGAGAGACGAGCATAAAAAAGCGTCTCAGACAGCGCGCGAATACGGAATTGAATTCTCTTTTACGTCTTGCACTTGTATGGACGAATTCACACAAAATGATGTAGGCGGCTGCATATGAAAAAAAACACCAAACCCTAAAAAAAATCTAACAAAAGGTTTCTCAGCTGTTTTTTTGTAGTATTAGGTGTCCTTAATAACATACTAAAAGTTTACTAAAGTTTGACCACTAGAAAGGTGTAATTTTCAAGATGGCGTCCAAGATGCGCAGGAAATATCCTAACTCCATTATTTGACCTAGTCAAGTAATCTTGGTGTCTAACCCCATGTTTTCTGGGTCTATGAATCCATTGGACTTGTCTAAATTGCACTGACATGATTACATACTTATGGAATACATGATTTTGTGAGATTACTGTAAGGTTTTATCTTTGGGGTGAACCAGAGATGTAAACGATTTAGCCTCAATTTAGACCTCAAATACATGTTTTTGGACACATACCCTTTTTTGCTAAAACACAGACTTGACATTCAATGTAAAAGGTATTGCACCCAAAAGTAACTTAAATTGGAGTTGTGTAACTGGTCATAAACAGTGAGGCAGTCACTGAGTTCTCAAGCAAGAAATCTAACAAAACTGTCCTGGATTCCGTCCCACCAACTGAGCATTATGTCCTTGATGGTGGCTTCCTGGTTCACCACTTGGCATGGAAAAAGGGTGACCATTACGGTGCCATTGCACAGTCATATGCAGACTTTACCATACGCCATTATGGTAAAGCAACAGTCGGTTTTGATGGTTATAGCGAAGGTCCTTCCATCAAAGACAAAATGCATCAGAGATGAAAACACTTACCCCATCGTTAACTTCAATGCAGAGACTGAGTTTGTGGGAAGAAAGGATGATTTCCTTTCCAGATCTTGCAACAAACAAGGACTTATCAATCTTATGACCGAGGAGCTGGAGAAGAAGGGCTGCACTGTTATCAATGCATCAGGTGATGCAGACATGGACATTGTCAAAGCTGCAGTCAAGGCCTCAGAACATCAGCACACAACCTTGATAGGGGAGGATACAGACTTACGCATTCTTCTCCTCTACTATGCTGGGACGAACAATAGAGGACTCTATTTTCATTTAGACAAGTCCAAAGCTACTAAAGTGTTCAACATCGGTGAGATGAAACAAGTCCTGGGTAGTGACTTGTGTTCCCAGTTGCTGTTTATTCACGCCTTCACAGGATGTGATACAACTTCACGTATTTTTAGTGTTGGCAAACAGACAGCATTCCAGAAACTTGTGAATGGTGAATCAACCATCCAGTCCTGTGCAAATGTGTTTCTGCTCCCACATCAAGCAAGGAATGTCATAGAGGACCATGGGACCAAGGCAATGGCAGTGTTGTTTGGCGGAAAAAGTACCGATTCAGTTGCCTCTTTGCGCTACAACCTTTTTAGCAAGAAAATCGTTACCGCCAAATCATTTGTTACCCCAGAACGTCTCCCTCCAACTGAGTCCTCAACCAAATATCTAGCCAATAAATGGCTGCCATGTTGAAAATGGGGCCTTTCTTGGAGTCAAACTTTGGTAAACTTTTAGTATGTTTTTAAGTACATATGATACTACTGTAAACCACTGAGAAACCTTTTGTTAGAATTTTTTTTCTGGTCAAGCCATATTTGCAGCTGACTAATGTAAAAACGCCTGTCTTGGCGAGTATCCTAGTAAACATTGTCAGTTATATCTCAAGTGAACACAGACAGTATGTGATCCGTGCATTCGGTCTTAAAGGGATAGCAGTCTAATAAACCTGCTGCTGCGTTCTAATGTTGATTAAACAAAGGACATAGAAATCACTCACTGCTCTTGACTAAATACCTTTTGTAACTTTATAAAGATCCATCTATATTTAATTTATATTAATTTTATAGTAATGAATATTCAGTGTTATTTCACATTTGATTACTTTATTCAAATTATGTACCTGAAAACTTCCTGAAAAACTCTAAAAACACTGTTTATTTCATTTGTAGCCTTTCTTTGTTCTGTTGTATTTATTTGTAATTTGATTATTTGTTCTTATTTTATTACTGACTGCTTAATTGTCTTTAATAATGTTTTAAATTTACATTAATTAGGCTAGTAGTTTTTGCTGAAGTATCAAAATTGTAATAGAGAATTACAGAATATAGTGTATAGAGAAATAGTGATATTTCACTGGTATCTAAACATTTGAACCACTGACCCAATCCTCAGATCCCTGCTGGAGCAGCTATTAAAATGTGCTGTGCTATTAAATGAAAGATAAAATATGCAATATAATGAACAATGAAAGTAACAGAAGCTTATACAATAGCCTACATTTTAGCAGGCTTAATTAAGCATGAAAATAACTGAAGGAAATATTATTTGCTGAACAAATTAAGCCAGCTAATATGATTCATATTCAATAATTAAAAATGACAAATGCAGTGAAAATACAGGTATCGGTATCGGTAGTCTGTATCGCAAGTACCAAAAATGAAAATATCGGTATCGGACTCGTTCTGGAAAAAGTTGTAAAAGTTTGCACCCTACAAATTGGTGTTGTTCACCGACTGTATCATCAATACTGAGTATTTATACATGATCTGACTCATTACACATAATGATGTTTTATTAACAAAGTTCGGGAGGAGCACGTTCAGTTAATTAACACGAGTGGAGTGCACTCAGCAATCAATGATAAGAGGTGTATATATAGATTCAGTAATCTCACCTCACTCCATTGATAGTTTAGCAGCATCCCTCCACCGCCCCTTCTCCACACTAAACACTTACATAGGGGGGAGTAGGCCTACTCTAGGTTCGGGCCAAACTCCGAGCTCGGAGCCCTCCCCCCGGACAGCACACCAAATACGCATTAACTCTTATCCACTCTAATTATATGTAAGTGTGAACTCGTGAAATGCTTTTTGCGTATTTTGTAGCAGGGAAGTGTGCATATACTGACTCAGGGTGTTTACTTTATTAAACACAATATTTCACTGTAGATTTGTCATTTAAAACCTAAATGATCACTGCCTGTTCATGTGCAAACCACTCACATTTTCTCCAGATTAAGTTTAGTTAGTTGGTTTATTTGCCAGTGGCTGTGCTGTTGAAAAGAGCTGAGCCAGGGTAATGGGTGCCATTCAGCATGGCATGACAATTCAATGAGTCTGGGCTCTTTATTTGGCACTGCTCTTGGCATCAGGTTCTGGCCTGTGTGCTGCGTTTGTTGTGGTTCAGGTTGGTCCAGTTGTGGGATGCAGTGGTGTTCCAGGGTGAATGAATGCCTGTGCCATTATCCTTTAATCCCCATTTGCTTTTCTGGAAAACCCTGAATAGTGCTAGAATCACTGACTCGATTTTTGGATCTCATTTTCATGACAAAGTGAATATCTGGCCCTCCCCTCCACCTCATTTTGACTTTGGGAGCTGCATATTTAAACAGCCCCATAAACATTTACTCTGGACTTCAGACAACTTCTCCAGACAAGCTTTAATACAATATTCAAGATGGGCAGGGTGAGTAGGAAATCACTTGAATATAATGGAAAAGATGCAAAAAAAAATAAAAAGATTAGCCTAGCAGCACAATTAAATAATATTTATTTTAATGTTTGTTTAGAATGTTTATAATTTTAATGTTTTTTTCTCAGCTTTAATGGCAGATTTTAAGTTGTGTAGCACATTTATGGATATGTTATACAAGGATATGATAGTTCCATTAACTTTACATTCACATTTAAAAATCTTTAAAAAGTAATTTGAGAAAAATAATGAATAAAACTACCTAGCAAATAGAGATGCTGCTATATTGTTGATACCTCATGACATCATCAGGAATTTAAATGTCTAATTTTGAGTCTACTTGATTGTGATGCCTAAATTATGACACTGACTTATAAAGCTATTTTTAGTAAACTCACTTTTCTAAATGTCTTGGCTTGCAGTCAATGAGTTTAATTAGGTTACCTTTATGAAACTGCCTACACATTTTTTAATTATTTAATTTTTTTGTAAAGTTTTTAATTGCAGCTCAAACCATTTTGGATTAGTTAAATTCTAAGATGAGTGTTGGTGGGTTTAGATATTGGTAATATTGGTTTGTTGCTGGCACACCAGACTGATACTAGTACCTGGTTAAGCTTGTTAATGTTGCAGGCAGACCAGCTGATCAATCCTATAACATAGTATTGTAATATATAGACATCTTGAAAATTCTCCAGAGCACATCAGTGGATACCAAAAATTGTGTAAACAAGATAAAAATGTACATTGCATGTTAAGCATCCAACCAAAACCAGCATGAACATGGCCAAAAACATATATTAACAATTTTTAAATGACGCTAAGTTGGCTGTTCAAGAACAACAATGCCCTTCAATATCATCTTAATGTCTCTCAGATTGTGTTTTTTGAGGACAAGAACTTTCAGGGTCGCCGTTACGAGTGTGACAGCGACTGCTCCGACTTCCATGCCTACCTTAGCCACTGCAACTCTATTCGTGTGGACAGCGGCACCTGGGTGGTTTACGAGCGGCCCAACTACACGGGTAACCGGTATCTGCTAACCAGGGGGGAGTATCCTGAGTACCTGGGCTGGATGGGACTTAATGACTGTCTCAGTTCCTGCAAGATTATACGCTTTGTAAGTTAAACTATTTCTGCATCTACTGTAGCAGTGCACATTACTGACATAAAGCTTTTTTAAATACTTAAATTATTTATAATGTGGAACACATGATTTGCTGTGTTTTTTGACTGGCATAATGATCAAGCTGTTTCACAATGCTGTGCTAGAATTGGATTCAATTTACTACATTTACATTTACATTACATTTATTCATTTAGCTGACGCTTTTATCCAAAGCGACTTACAATTGCTATATATGTCAGAGGTCGCACGCCTCTGGAGCAACTAGGGGTTAAGTGTCTTGCTCAGGGACACATTGGTGTGTCACAGTGGATTCGAACCCGGGTCTCTCACACCAAAGGCATGTGTCTTATCCACTGCGCCACCACACACCCTAGGTTAAAGCACAATAAAACCATGGGATAGTGTGAGTAGTGGAAGGTCATATAGACCTTTTCTGACTGTTATGTCCGGCTAACTGATTTTGAGCCGCAAGGCTTTTGCCAATAGATCAATTTCCATATGGCCAGCTGTTTTTACGTCAGTCTTTGTTAAAAGACCACACTTGTATGTGTAATGTAAGCAAACATTCAGCTCGTTTTAATCAATGGACCACACACAGGACTAAATTACATTTCAGGTCAATATAATGGTCTTCAATTTAGTTTGTTTTGACATTACAGGCCATCTTCTCCAACATTGACACAACTCCATGTAAAAATGACATGTTGAATCCAAACAAATCAGAACGGTTTCTGCCATGAAGACCTGAATGAATATATCACAGGCATCAATAGTATAAAATATTTAAATATATATATATCTTGAAAATTCTCCGCATGGAAATCAGCGGATACTAAAGAAAGGTCAAATCAAGCAAACAAGATAAAAATATACATTCGTCTACAAAACATGCTTATGAAAGTCTTTAAGTTTTATATGTTATTTATTGACATTCACAAAACTGGAAGCATCTTATTCCATGTGTCTCTTTGCCATTTTGACTCATTTATTCTAACCCCAAACCCTCATACACAAATATATCCACCCCTTTCCCAAACACATCTAACCCATGCAGACGAGTGGAATGCAGTACAAGGTTCAGCTGTACGACAAGCCTGACTTCACAGGCCAGGCCATAGAGTCCACTGAAGACTGTCCATCTGTGGTGGAGAGGTTCCGTCTGAGAGAGGTCAATTCCTGCAAAGTTCTGGATGGTTACTGGATCTTCTACGAGCATCCCAACTATCGTGGTCATCAGTACTTCCTGGAGAAAGGCAACTATCGCAAACCAGTGGACTGGGGTGCAGTCTGTCCCACCGTGCAGTCTTTCCGTCGCTTCACAGAGTGATGTTCCTATGTCACAATAATTAGGCTATTTGGCTGTGACACAAATCGAAGTTCTGGCTAAAATAAAGTTTGGCTGGAGACCCACTACTTGTGATCTGACTCATTTAAATGGCAAAGTATTGGTCTTAGATCCACAGTTACAGGGTGGAGATTAAGGTGAGTTCCAAAAGAGAAACAGTTTCCTCCTCCACCAATGAGCACCACCTCAGTCCCCTCAGAGTCCAGCAGCTCAGAGCAGAATGAGTGCAGCATAAGAGGCCAAGGCACAGACGACTGTAACAGAACAAAACAAGAAACAAATATGTATGCCATGCATTTTAAAACTATGGGTTTCCCAATGTGTATTAGTTTATTTTTTAAATGGGAAATATGGGGATCATTAAATTAATTTTAGCTACAGTAATTACAACAATACAATATTTATGTCTTCGGGTGGCTTATATACAAGTAAATATCCAGGCATATTCCAGATATATTGACTTATGACTTAAAGAATTGAATGGCCTGGAAATCACACATCTAAAATTCCCCAATATTTCCAGATTTTCCGTGACCACGAAGACCCTTTTTAAAACAGCAATGACAGCAATTTATTTTTAATTTAATTTATTAATGATCAAACAATTCCTTCATCAAGTAATATAGTGTATAAGTCTAAAGGTCTGTTCACTTCACACCAAGAACAATAACCATAAAGATTTTAAAATCGTGAATCGTAAAAAAAAAAAAGTTAATAGCACTTGAATAGTCCACACCACAATTATAAAGATGATGACACAGAGCAACGATATAGTTAAGATCAATTTCAGAGTAATCTTCTTCCAGCTGATGAATAATAAAATCATAGACAGCCAATCAAAATCCATCCAGCTTGAAAATATACGAACAACTGCAGCTCATGCTAAGAATAAACAATGTTATTGTCTATTGGTGTGGACACTAATATAGCATATATCATAATATTTATCATTACAGTGATGTTTGTTCTGCATTAACTTGTTGCCAAGCAACATAGCAACATCCTGCATTATAACAGAATTTGTGCATATATGGACTTTGCAACAGCAGAGAACAATCAGAATTTAGAGTAGAAAATATCAGTTTTATTATGCCTATTGAGTGGCTCATCCAATGAAATTTTAGATCCAAAATTTTCCATTTTTATTTTAAGCCATTAACCACTGCTAGTCCATGAGTAGAGTAACTTACGGTATCCAGCTGGATCTCCACACAACCCCCAGTGTTAAGATTTATTACAGCAACTCCTGGTACTCCATCAGCCTGAAGCCAAACTCCACCAACCACAACCAACTTCTCATTAATTACATGGGCCGAGTGGGAATATCTGAAAGCAGAGGCCAAGACTGATTTCGATCACTGAGAGGTGGCACACATCTTTCTTATGACACATCCTTTACATTTCTCTTTAAGTGTCTTAACCCTCTGGGGTCCTTTGGCCCAAATGGACCCGAAGCATTTAAATATATATATATTTTAAATCATAGCTTTATCGTAATGGTCCGAAATTTGGTGACTTTGTTGGTACTTGGTATATGAACACCCAAAAAAATTGGGGACAGGATTTGAATAGTCTAGGTGGTTGTAAAAAAAAAAAAGTCACACTCAGGACCTTCGGGTCCAAATGGACCCGCATAGGAAATGAATGGGAAATTGGCAAAAATGTGAAAATACAGAGTTTTTTTGTGCGTACAATCTACAAATCAGCCACGATCCAGAAAAAAAGCACACAACAGTGAAGGGGTGAATCTATAAAACATCAAGAGTGCAAAACAGACACATCCACACACACACACACACACACACACACAAACACACTTTTATACACATACACACTAATAAATTCAGATTACATATGGGTTTTGAATTTTTAAAATGCTCAGTTTGTCCACCAGATGGCATCCATCTCATTTCAAAAATTGCTTTCATGAGGCCTAGGCTTGACTCTAAAATGAAATACAGCTTTAAAAAAAAAAAAAAAAAAATTTTTTTCTATTATATTCAATGGGGAAAAAATGGGTCAAAATGATTGCATTAATATTAATTATAAATCATTTTTATTTTTGAAATTATCTCAAAATACCAAAAAAGAAAAGAAAAAATATTATAAAAAACAAGTAAAAAAAAAAAAAGATGACTTTTTTTTTAATAAATATTAATCCCACCCTTCCGGCCCATTTGGACCCGAAGGTCCTGAGTGTGACTCTGAAATGAAGAACCCCAGAGGGTTAAATTGTGAACAGCAAGAAAAAAAAAAGTGAACGCACTAATTGAGTGTGTTACTGATGCTCCAGAAGGAAACAAGATGCATTAAGAGCCAGGGGGTGAAAACTTTTTGAATTTGAAGATCAAGGTAAATTGTACTTAATTTGTCTTCAGGGAAGCATGCAAGTATCTTCTTTTGCTTCCGAAGGGCAGTACTAAATGATTTTTTAGAAATATTTGGACCTCTTCATCCTGTTCAAAAGTTTTCACATATAGTTTGTGGACTTCATGTAAACATCTTTTATGTAAAATATCTTATTTAGGACAGTACTAAATAAAAAATAACATGCATTTTGTATAATCCCTCTTATTTTGTACAAATAATTACCATTTTGCAAATTCTGCAAGGTGTATTTAAACTTTTGAGCACACCTGTACACATACATACAGTATTTTTTTATTTTTTTAAAGCGAGTGGTTTTGAACCTGGGCACTGGAGGTGGATGTAAATTCTTTGTCTCCCAGCAGAAACCTGATGATGTGGGTCTCAGGTAAAAAGCATCACAGAGAGGTCTTCCTCCTTTCCCTAAACCTCCAAATATCACAAGCCCCCCTCCATAGGGACAAGCTGAATGGGAATGACGTGCTTCCGGAACGACACCAACAACTGTAATCTAATTGAAACACACAAAAGATTCTCTAACAATCACCCTCCAGACATAAAGGCTATTCCAAAATATAGGCAGGAACATTACACTGCTCTTACAAGATAACTTTTTTTTTAAGAAAGAAATGAATACTTTTCATCAAGGATGCATTAAATTGATCAAAGGTGACAGTACAGACATCTATAATGTTCCAAAAGGTTTTTAATTCAAATAAATGTTCTTTTGGACAAAAATGATTCAATTGATTCAATTATCAACTGTTTTCTACGGAAGCCCTGAACCGCAATCTAAAAAAAAAAAAAAAAAATCTGTAAAAAAAAAAAAATCTAGCATTTCAAGATTAAAGTCTAAATATTTCGAGATTAAAGTCGAAACATTTCGAGAGTACGAGAATACAGTCTTCCGTAGAAGTTGCGTGTGTGCTTGCCATTGTTTCACATTGCCGCACACACAGGCATTCATAATGGTGCATAGCGAGTGTTTCACACTGTGTGTGTGTGTGTGTGTGTATTTGTGTGTGTTTTGTTTCAACAAAAGAAAATTCAACAGGTGCCATTTTGAAATGGCTCCGGTGGGTAGAAAACTGGAAGTGTCGCCTTTAATCATAGGAGAGTCGCGAATGCGATGGCATATTGTTGTGTTTAATGTAGAAATTAGTTATTCTAAAAATGTACATACATTTCTTTCATACTTTAGACTATATACAGTGAAATTCATTTATAAATAAAACATTTTTTTTTATACATAATTGAGAACGTAAAAAAAGAAGCAGGAACGAACTATAGACATATCCTATATTGGATATTAACATCCAATAGTGTAAATCGCGGCAGCAGCATCAGGTTGGTAGTCCAAGGCATTGTTGTCTATCTGTTCTTCCGGGGTTCTTCCCACAGGAGCCTCGCTTTCGATTTCAAAATGGCGGCTGCGTGAAATCAGCGTATCTACCAGCATTAGGCTACCATTATAGAACGTTATAAAATATACTGCGCCGGAATAGACTTTAGCCTATAGGAAAACCAACCCGGAAAACACTTTTCAGACTGGATGGAGATATCCAGCTGAATGAATGAATGAATGAATGAGGCGTTTATATAGCGCTTTCATATGTCTACTAGGCCTACACTCAAAGCACTTTACAATCATATCAGAGAATCTCTCCTCAACCACTATTAGTGGTTATTAAATCTGAGGAAATCACGGGATCCGGCCAAATGATTGGATACAGAATGATGCACTTAAAATGTATCCAGAACGTATTTACGGTGAACAGGGAGACAGAACGATTACTGTTGTGTTCTCGACCAAGATAGTGTTGCCTAGATGAGCACGAAAACACCTCAAAAACACTGCCACATAAAGTTTGGACCAGATTGTGATACCTACTCCGGCGGAGTCTGTGCGCTCGTCTATAGGCAACGCCATGGTAATTCTTGTTGGTAGATTAGCACCTGTGTAGAATTTTGTTGAAAGCCCAGATAAAAGTAAAAAGCTACTATTTAGTGTTGATCCATGGCAGTTCGACTTCACAAGTGCATTTCTTTACACACACACACACACGCGCTCTGAGCCAGTGGACGAGCACTGTTATGAATGCACACACTTCTATGGAAGACTGTATTATCGAAATGTTTCGACTTTAATCTCGAAATGTTTCGACTTTAATCTCGAAATGTTTCGACTTTAATCTCGAAATGTTTCGACTTTAATCTCGAAATGTTTCGACTTTAATCTCGAAATGTTTCGACTTTAATCTCGAAATGTTTCGACTTTAATCTCGAAATGTTTCGACTTTAATCTCGAAATGTTTTGACTTTAATCTCGAAATGCTAGATTATTATTTATTTATTTTTTACGTTGCGGTTCAGGGCTTCCGTAGTTTTCAACATTGATAACAATAAGAAGAGATTTTTCACCCCTAGATTTTAACTTTGACTTTGGAACAGTTAACAAACCCTGGTTGGCAGACCTAAGTGTTCTTACTAGTTGGTGTTCACACAACAAGTCAGAAAGGTAAGAGGCATTAATTAAATTTATTAATCAAATAAATGCATCCTTGGTGAGCATAAGAGTTTCTTTCAAACATAAAAAAACACACTTTTAAACAGTAGTGTATTCAATTGGTCAATCGGCCAATCCCTGTATGCACTGCTCAGTAAAAATTGGAATGGAGACTACAAAGTACTGCTAAATTGCTTACCGGTATATTCAAATTACAAATGTACAACTTCACCCAATTGTGTTATGTATTGTTTTGCTTAGTGTATTACAGCATTAGTTTTGCAACATCTGCGAACAATCGACTCATTGTCCAATTGTATGTATGTTTTCATTAGGTTTTAATACGTGCCTCAGTCCAGTGCTTGTCCTCCAAACACAGGAAATGTGCATCACCTAGAACTGGATCCTTCTCTGTACGTCCTCCAAACACAAATAGAAATGTCTTATCTGGAAGTATATGTTAAGAAGTTGTTAATTTTTTGCTCCTTACAATGCAAATGTAAAAAACTGCAAAAAATATATAAACTCACCATTATGACAAACTAAGGTCGATGTGTGTCTCCATCGTGGCTTTGGACCAGTGCCGGTACAATTCATGTTCTTAAATGACAGCTGTACAGCACTTTGCTGATCACCAAGGTCAAAGGTCACCCACACAATGCTGCCTGTTGGATTGAGTGGAGAAGTTCTGCCACCAAAGAGGACCACTCCACCACCAGGGATAGAGGTCAACGTCTGATAAAGACTCACCACTAAGGAGAAGAAATATTCAATATGCATACATACATAAAAAGCTTGTCACTGCACCAGACTGTTATAAATTGAACAACAACCTAAACAATATAAGAAAAAAACTTAGATATTGCATACCTTTCGAACCTTACCAATTTGCATATCACCTCAATGTATTAATAAAAGCAACTTGCAACTACTATAAATATGCCCAGTGCTATCAGCATAAATACAGTGCACTCACATAAAGTGATAAATACTATATCCCAAATAACAACTGTTTATATCATTAAGATATGTAAACCATCCTGTTTCCCAGCTATAAACTGCTAAATGTGTAAGGTATTATAAACATTATGAATATTTGGAAAGCTACTTTGAAAAGCACTATACAAATAAAATTGACTTGACTTGACAAAGTGAGTTCATTAACTAACCGGCAAGTCAAACAGTTTATTTTAGATAAATTCCAATAAGGAAACCATTAGCACTGGCAAAAAAAGAGAGCATGGTCAAATCACCTCTGTCTCCATGAGCCTCCACACAGGCACATTTCCAGCCACCCTGCTCTTTGATCAGGACCCTTGCTACGGTGTCTCTTCCGCTTCTCCCACAGCCTCCGGTGAGAAGGATGTTTCCAGGGGCCAGTACGGCAGAGGCCATACCGACAGCCTCTATACACGGAGACCCACACATGGGTTGAATGACCAAAGGAGGATGCTCAGCCCATTGAGGAGTCATGTGTGGGATGGAAGGCGCTAGAAGTGAACAGAGCACATGTACCTCTGCACCATACACCTCACCTAGTGATACTGTACACATAACACAAATATCTCACCAATACTTACACTTCGGTAGCATAAGAAGGGCTTGATTGGTCACAGAGCCTTTGGAGGCTGAAAGGATGAAGTAATGAGAACATTTCTGGTGCCATTCCTGATATCATTAAATAAACACAGGTCTAGGATTAGGCATTTGATCAGAATCAGTGGTCATATTGGGATCATTCAAAAGTCTTGGCTGGGAATGGGGCCGTTCCCTCACCTCAAACTCATCAAAAGGTTCCAGTCCCTCGACTCTCTGCCTCTCATCTTCAGGAAGAAGGTCAAAGTAGAACTGGTTCATATCCAGACAGACACATTTTTCCCAGCCCTGTGGCAAATAAAGATCAGTTACCTGTCTTACTGAAAAACAAGTGTGATCTATCTACACTACTGCTCAAAAGTTGGTAAGATTTTTTCATGTTTTTGAAAGATTTATTTAAATTGTATTTTAAATCTTTTCTTTTAATTTGATCAATTTAAAATGTAATTTAGTCCAGTCACAGAAAAGCTGAATTTTCAGCATCATTACTCCAGTCTTCAGTATCACATGATCCTTCAGAAATCATTCTAATTATGCTGATTTGCTGTTCCAGAAACATTTCTTATTATTATTGTTGCTTGATATTTTTGGGGAAACAGTTTTTTTCCCAGGATACTTTGATCAATAGAAATATCAAAAGAACAGCATTCATTTGAAATAGAATTATTTTATAATATCAAAATGTTTACCATTTGAAATAGAAATTTTCGATCAATTTAATGCATCTTTGCTGAATAAAAATATGAATTTAATTATTAATCAGTAAAAAAAAACATACTGACACCTTTTTTTAAACAATAGTGCATGTATGATTTATCTTTCTTTGTATCTCTTCAACCCTCTTCAATCTTCAGCATTCAACATAAGGCCAATGCAATCTTCAAAAATTGACATAAGCTAATTAAAATCATTTAATTGATGCTTAAAATGTAGTTCATATTATCCATAAGTTATTATATAAAGTGAGCCTGTCATTATCATAAAATACACCTGACACGTCGTCAGGTCAGGTCTTACTCACTCTGAAGGTGTTTATTCGATAGATAGATAGATAGATAGATAGATAGATAGATAGATAGATAGATAGATAGATAGATAGATAGATAGATAGATAGATAGATAGATAGATAGGAAACATTAATTTGAGGTATACCTTCTGTATGAATAGGAAACATTAATTTGAGGTATACCTTCTGTATGAATCTCTGTGTCTGAGCGACAGTGTGTGGATATTGTTTGAGAGCATGTATGGAAGAGTTGAGCTTCAGGAAGTGGTTCTGCATGACCCTGCCAAATGGGTCATCTGGGTGGATCTGTTCATACATCACAAACATAGACTGTGGGAGGAGCTTGGCAGTCCAGCCAATCACAGCATCTGACCTAGAGAAAATCACCAAAACAAAATAAAGAGAACTGCAAGTGAAAAATGCACCAACCAGTTTGCTTAAAAGTTAATATGGCCCCTTTTTTGCCAAACAGGTATAGTACAAAAAATATACGAAAACTATTGGAGAGGCATGAGAAGCATTGAGATCAGGATATGTTGCAGGTGGGACTCGAACCTGTATCTATGGAATGGGCACTAGGGCTGCGTTCCAGTCCACTTTTTAACACGCACTTGCGAACTTCCCAAAGCACTTCCCCTCGGGGGAATCCCTCCCGCCATTTTGATGTGCGTTCCACTTCGTGAAGTGGACGAGGGAAGTTTATAATGGACAGGGAGCAAGTCTACTTCATATGTACACTTCAGGCAGCTCCATATACCACAATGCAACACGACTGTGACATCAACGCATATTGCGTTTAAAGGAACACGCCGACTTTTTGGGACTTCAGCTTATTCACCGTATCCCCCAGAGTACTAAGTGTGTACAAATAACAAGGTCATATGAGACACAGCCATCTTTTAACCGTATACATACTGGGAACTATATTCTTAGAAGGCGAACCACTGCTACTTGGGCAGAGTGATTTGCTCACAGCACCTGAGAAGCCCCGTGGTGAGGAGCAGAAAGCTCGCTCAGAGTGTTGCGCTAATCACTCCGCCCAAGTAGCAGTGCTTCGCCTTCTGAGAATATAGTTCCCAGTATGTATACGGTTATAAGGTGGCTGTGTCTCATTTGACCTTGTTATTTGGACACACTGTGACTATACAAATCACAACATATAAATAGGAAAATGTTGGCGTTATTTTGTCACTTGGGAGCAGTATGCTAGCTGGAGCCATTTACTTCCAGTCTTTGTGCTAAGCTAGGCTAGCGGTGGGTGCGTCAGACAGAGTTACAACACGCACAGAGATAAAAAGGGTATGTATGTACTTTTCTAATTCTGGGGGATACGGTGAATAAGCTGAAGTCCCAAAAAGTCGGCGTGTTCCTTTAATTTACCCCACCACAAACAACTCTATAATATATTAATTATTTAAAAAAAAAATTGACACAACTCAAACACACCTATATACATATAGAATGCTGCATTAAACAATTTCGTAGGGGGGGGGAAATAAATAATAAATCAACCCCATAGTGGATTCTAAGTGATCAAGGGTTAAGCACGTTCCAATTCAGCCTATTGCAAAGGTTCCGCCAGTAGTGGGCACTCATGCAATGTAAGCAATGAAGTACATCCGAGTGAACGAGACGGAGAGAAGTTAGCGAGTGAAGGGCATGACAATTTTGGACTGGAACACAGCCCAAGGCTCAGTGGTTCAGGAGCACATGTGCTAATTGTTGCACCAAACTGAATTCACATCCTCACCATTGTGTTTCCATATAAGTCAGCACCACCTCTGATAAGACGAGTGTGGGAGTGTCCCACTGCAGCCCAGCTCCGCTCAGAGCCGCCTCCACCTTCTGCTCTTTCCTGACATCCACACCAATGAGATTATAATGACCACTTCTGATGAACACAGTATCTACATATGGGCAAGAAACATGTTCTAACTAAACTCTATTACATTTTAGAGACAAAAGACAGAATTGCAGAAGTTCACTTTGGAAGGTTTGCTTAGATATACATATATATATATATACATACAATATAGTTTATATACTGTATATTTTAAGTGGTTGAATGTTTTGTAATAAATACAGTGAATGTCCTACTAGTCTGCTGATTCGAGACAGCCTCCCAATCTGGCAATGTGTCCTTCAGACAAGCATTGCTATTGATCAAGTCAGCCTTGCGTCGGGCAACTTCTGGAAAGTCAACCTCAAAAACTGTGACACCTCCAAGGGCTCCTTCTGAATGCAGCCGGAAAAATAGGGAGTCAAACCCTGCTCCTAGTGACAGAATCTGAGATTAAGAGAAGGATATGGTCAGGGCATTCATTTTTCACAGTAAAAAATTATATACACAAAACATGGATATTTCATCCCACCTGTCTCCTTGAGCTGGAGTTTGTAGCATGGAAAAACTGATTCATACAATGATCGACTGCTTTCCAGCGCACATAATAACCTCTGACAAAAAAATATACACACATCACATATATAAAAACTGTTGTATGAGAATATAATCACTAAAAGAGCAATAACTGTCTCCTAAACATTTACCTATTAATCAGTGGAGCTCTTCTTGACACCTTGCACACAAAATGTTTGAGGAAGTCATCATGGAAGTAGCCCTGTGCCGCTGCTGACACCTTACTGACCACACTGCTGTCATTGGTCCCCTGCACCTGATTGAAAATGTGAAAGAAAAGAACAGGGGGGAAATGTATCCCACAGAAGAAAGGCATTCGAGTTTGGAAAAATAATGACAGGATTTTCCTTTTTGGGTAATATGCACCTTTAAGTTCAGAAAAGTGTTTTGTTTTGTTTTGTTTTTTTTGTATTTTGAATAACATACTTCAAGGCACTATATGGTACATGAGCAATATGGCATTACTATTAGCATAGTACACTACGTGATACTATTTTGTTAGTGGTATAACATTTTCACTGCCATATTTGACCTTTTTGAAGTTCACGGATCTAAGCTGGGCCTGTTTAAATGAAACCCAACAGAATATAAACACTGGCAAACTCACAGCAGCATCTTTTCCTTGCTCTCTCTTGCTGTTTATTGGCATCACTCTGAACACACGTGGAAGTCTCACTGTAGAAACAACAAGGAAGCACCACAGCGGAAGCGGGTGTGCACATTACTCATAACAAAAGCGTTTCAAATATAACCTTACATAAGAATTGAATGCAAAATAATAAAAAATATAAACCTTTGCATGCATCCCGGTGGTCAGTATATTAAACAGTGGTACTGAGACACAGCAAAATAGGCCTTTAACACATATTTGATGTTGTTGTTTTTTTTTTCATTTATTTATTTCAATATTTTTCAAACTAAAATACGAACATTTATTTGATATATTCAAAATGTTAACTTATTTCAATAATTAATACACAATAATATCATTTTATGTAATTATTATAAATAATTTTTCTGGACTTTTCAGCAACATCCTGTGCGTCATTTCCGCTGATCGTTTGCATGATGTTGAACTAGAAAACTTGTTCTGTTCAAAAACAGGAGGAAGATTTAAGGTTTGAGCTGTTTGTTTCCTATCGTTCAGCTTTTTATGATGTTTGTTTTACTGGAGGTATTAATATAACGGCATCTTTCAGTTTACTGAATCTCGATAATCTAATATTAAACTGTTGTGAGCTGTACTGTCAGGTTGTTTTAGTTAGATTCAGCGCATTTATTTCTTACATTCAGATTATTATGTACTTGTAGATAAAGTCTGTGACTAATAAATAGTAAGTGTCTCTTCTTTCTTAAACTACAGTGGCTGAAACTGGGTCAAGATATGAATCTTAAAATTAGCTCCCTCACATTTGCTTATAAGCTATCTTTTAACATGATTCATTGTTGTTAATATGAAAACTTATCTAAAACCAGCTTCTGGTTATTTTAATGGTTTCTAGCTGGTCCAAACTGGTCATTTATGGTTCTTAGCTTTCTGTATGTTTAGTCAGATGATCATCTTGGTCCAGCATGATCAGCAACAAATGGCCTCACAGAACACAAACAAATTGAACGTTGTGAATTGTACTGATTTGAATGTCATTAAGGTAATATGGTCTAGTTGGCTAACATAGATTGATCATAGATTGAAATTGTGAGAATGACTTCTCTTGGGGGCATTATTTACAAGGAGTTTTAGTTATAAACAATAAAATAATCATGAATATTAGTAAAACAGTCATTTACTGCATTAATGATGTCATTGTTACAGCATAAAATGTGTTTGAGTTTATAGCTGTCTTGAAGTTACATAAAAATAAGAAAGTAAAAATATTAATAAAAAAAATTTCTGACAAATATAAAAAGTATTTTGATAAAAATAGCCATTTATAAGATTTGCGGGTCAAGGCAAGTTAACATCTGTAAAGTGTCAGTTTTTGCTACCATTTTCTCTAACAAATAGAACTTTTGACATTTGGATGCACATACAGTTTTTAGATCATATGTACAAATGATCTCTTTTTTTCTGTTCTTCCTCTTTTTACAGACCTACCTCCTAGTATCCCAAAGGCATCTACCTGAGCTGACCCTTCCTATAATCCACTCCTGTTCTTCCTAAGTACACGTTCTTTGTTTAGAAATACCTCCACCTCTCCTGCTTTTTCTGTCTCTCCATCGTTCCCTCCCTTCCATCATGACTGAGCCAGATCTGCTCACAGAGGTCCCTGCCTCTCTTAAACGTCTGGCCAAGCAAGTAGTCCGGGGTTTCTACGGCATTGAGCACGCTCTTGCGCTGGACGTGTTGATCAGGAACCCTTGCGTACGTGAAGAGGACATGCTGGAGCTCCTCAAGTTCGACCGCAAGCAGCTGCGCTCAGTTTTGAACACACTCAAGGCTGACAAGTTTGTCAAATGCCGTATGCGCGTGGAGACAGCGCCTGACGGCAAGGCGACTCGGCACAATTACTACTTCATTAACTACCGGCTGCTGGTTAATGTGGTCAAGTACAAGCTGGACCACATGCGCAGACGCATTGAGACGGATGAACGCGACTCGACTAACAGAGCCTCCTTCCGCTGCCCCTGCTGCACGAACACTTTCACTGACCTTGAGGCCAACCAGCTGTTTGACCCCATGACTGGTGAGTATGAGAGGTAAACTGCGGGACAGAGTTGAGAAGTGCGATATTAGCTGAATTATTGTATTTATTTGTGGTTTTCCTGTTGCTCGAATGTTGTAAACATGTAAGCCAAAGCTCTCCTTGGGATGTTTTATTAAAAGACTTAATTAATTTGGCATTAGGGCAAGACTTTATGATGGCATACATGTACGGTATAGGAAACACTACAGCTATATTAGTGGGCAGAACTGCGTTACTTTATTTGCATACACTACCATTCAAAAGTTTGGGTTCAGTAGGATTTTTTTTTTTAAGAAATATTATTATTATTATTATTAAATAACTGCTGTTCTTTTAACACTCTTCTATTCGTCACATGAATGGTGGTGCTAAAAATGTCTTGGTTCCCGCAAAGATATTAAGCAGCACAAGTGTTTTTATCATTGATAATAATGCAAAATGTTTCCTGAGCACCAAATTACCATATTAGAATGATTTCTGGAGGATCATGTGACAATGAAGAAAAATTCAGCTTTGCCATCAAAGGAATAAATTACATTTTAAATGTATATTTAAATATAAAACCAGTATTTAAATTTTTAATAGTATTTCACAATATTACTGTTTTACTGCTTTTTTTGATCAAATAAATGCAGCCTTGGTGAGCATTAAAAAATATATATATAATTTTCATGGAGCAAAAAATATTTTCTGAAATTTTTTAGGTGATGGGTAAGTGAGCAATGAGGAGTTATAAAATATATTATTGTACAACAGTTGTGTGATCATAATGTTGAAATCAATTAGAAAAAGCTCTCCAATCTAGAAGTATATTACTTGGGCTCACTGGAGTTTTCATGTAGACAATAAAGTTTTAAGCTTATAATTGGTATTTTAATTGGGTAATTTAAGTGTGGTTTTGTAGGAAGAATCCTGCTTAAATTTCTTAATACCTAGCTAATCTCAAAGTTGAGGATTGTGTGATTCATCTAGAAGATCCTAAACCCATGTACATTAGGAATTGGAAAGATGTTTCTAATATAGGTCTGTGCTTGATCTCTGGTATCTTCTCTTAAAGGGTTAGTTCACCCCAAAATGAAAATGAATCATTAATTCATTAATTACTCACCCTCATTTTGTTCCAAACCCGTAAGACCTTCGTTTATCTTCGAAACACAAATGAATATATTTTTGATGAAATCTGAGAGCTTTCTGTCCCTCCATTGACAGCAATGTCATTGCAACTTTCAAGTCCCAGAAATGTGGTATGAATTTTGTTAAATTAGTCCATGTGACTACAGTGGTTCAACCTTAATGTTATGAAGCGATGAGAATACCTTTTGTGCGCAAATAAAACTAAAATAACGACTTTATTCAACAATCTCTTCTCTTCCATGTCATTCTCCTACGCTGTTGACGTAGTGTAAACAGTGCAGCGCTTCTGGGTTCTACGTCTACAGCAGCGGCTCCAAAGCTACATATATAAGCGAGCAATTCTTTACAAAGACAACTATACATTCGTTTTTAGAAGTTGGTCATTTATAACATTGATAGTCTTGAAAGTTTGTAATGGGGAGGTGTACAACATTCGGATATAAATGTTAAACAACAAAACAACCCAGAAAATGGCTCCAATCTATTAGTTTCAGTCATACTTTCGATATGTTTACAAGACGGCAACTCCGCGGATAAAAAAAACAAAACACACAAATAAACCACACACTCGGGTTTGATTTGGGTTGTGCTAGCCTATGTAGCTGTCTGTGTGTTACATAAACTAAAAGAACGTTTATATATAATATTTTCTGGCTAGTTTACTTTAGTTTTTTTTTAATATAATACACAACTTTCACCCAAACTGAATAATTAAAAACAAGTTTTTACCGGGTAGCCTAAATCTTCTATAAATATTTTATACTCAATTTCTTGTTAAAACTCACTAGACATGCTTATTCTGTGCATTTTGGGCACTTTTTGTGTGAAATCATATTTATTTTTGTCCATCAAAAGTGTGCTTTCACCTGAATTGAGCGTGAGCAGCGCAGCAAAAACAGATTCGACGCCGAAACCCCCGCTTCACTGCTGCTCACGCGACGCTCCTGCTCGACGCTCGCGCGCCGCTCCTGCTGCCGGTGTGAATGCACTCATTGATAAACATCGGAAAAAAATACGCGCCGCTCACGCATGCGGTGTGAAACGGGCGTTAGATACACGCCATCATGTACACATAAATCTCTGACCCATCTTCTTCTTCCTCGTCTAATTTCTGTCGCTACTTATTTATTATCATTTATTTATAAATTATATATTATATCAGCCTTCAGCCACCCTTTCTGAGATATCAGTACTGGTCTTAAAGAAGAAGAAAAAACATGCATTAGTATGCATGTCTCAATGAGACTTGGGTCTGACGTTAGCCAGGCTAGTAGCACATGGACTATTTTAACAAAGTTTTTACCACCTTTCTGGGCCTTGAAAGTTGCAATGACGTTGCTGTCAATGGAGGGACAGAAAGCTCTCAGATTTCATCAAAAATATCTTCATTTGTGTTCCGAAAATAAAACGAAGGTCTTACGGGTTTGGAACGACATTAAGGTGAGTAATTAATGACAGAATTGTCATTTTTGGGTGAACTAACCCTTTAACGAGTGCTTAATTCATTTAAGATGCTTGATCCACACTGTGGCAGAACTGTATGTAGACACATGATGGCAGCAGAGGTCAAAAGTTGTAATGCATTCAACACATTTGAATGAACCTCACTTGGAGACTGATGCTGAATTGCGTCAGATTGCAGACAGTAATAACAGACAGGAAAGAAAATGAAACTATTTTCATAGGCTTAAAAATAAACAGGCTGTAATCTCATAGAGGCGGCTGTAAGGATTAGCATACCGCATTGACATCATCATCATGACTTTCTGCTTCTGTGCCTACTGTTTTACAATTCTGACTGTTTTACAATTCAACAGCTGCTGATTTATGTACTTAGTGAAGTACACACACACACACAAGTGCTACTCTTGACGTGACTAGCGTTATAATGGTTTCAGAGATGGAGTATTTGTGAAGCTTAATGCACTGCTAGCCATCCCTGTTTAAGCTTTTATAATGGACTGAACCCAGAAAAAACAAAGTTTGTGTTTGGTGATGATTCCATATTTCAAATTATGTATTTTATATTATTCCATATTTTAAATTAAATTACGTATTTTGTGTAGCCTATTGCCGGTGCTGTGCTAGGGATAGTAGTCATGAGGAATTGAACAAACGGAACTGTTTTCCCTCAGTACTATTGAGCGCCATTACATCTGCTGATTCTTCAGCCTGATCAGTGTAGTGTAATTTTAACAAATGGTGATTTATGAACAAATTACTCTTATGAGCCAGTTCTTTTCAGTGAATCAAAACCATACAGTGCAACCAGTGCAGTTTGATTCCTGAACGAATGATTCCTAAGAGCCGATAATTTTCAGTGAATCAACCATACAGAGTGATGACAAATGACAACCATACAAAATGTTTCATCTGATTCCCAAATTAATTAGTTATTTTTTTCAGTGAATCATAAACATAAAGGTCAACCACTGTTGTTGACTAAATAAGACTACAATATTAGGGTTTGTGGGAAAATAAGAGAATTGTGTTAAATTGTAATGTGTAATCCATTTCAATGTTCTTTTAAACTGAGCAATTTTGTCTGTTCTATTCTGTTAGGCAATCTTATTGTCTATATATTTATTTATAAATTATATATTATATCAGCCTTCAGCCACCCTTTCTGAGATATCAGTACTGGTCTTAAAGAAGAAAAAAAACATGCATTAGTGGCCACGCTGCTTGCTATGCTAAGTGTATTTATGAAGTTGAAATTAATATCAACAGCATATCACAGATGATGTACAAAGAACATTTTACCCATATTCCTTTAATATGAACTTTATCTTTCTCTTCTGTCTCTCTCCATGACTTCATGTCATTCTTTTTTTTATGTGTGAGCTCTACCTGCATTTGTATATGTTATTGCATAGGGGATATGAAAAGCATCTTGCACCCGATAGACAGGAGGAACTCCTCTGTATAGAAAGCATATGTTTCAGAGAGTGATGGATACATGAGAGGAATGGACAGGATTAAGAGAGAGAGTTGGAGGGCTGAGAGCAGTGCCAGAGGTGAGTGATTAGTGTTTGAGGAAAAGAAAGGCAGGTAAAGACCGCGTGGCAGTGGTGGCACGTGTTCACCCTCACCTCTGCTAAAAGCAAACTGGCAGTCAGGGAGGCAAAGCTGTTGCTAGGATACACATCAGGAGGATTGGCGAGGATAGAGCAGAAGAACGGAACGGCCAACGATACCTAACCCTGTGTAGACCCTGTCATTATACACATACTTGTTTCCCATGTTCTCTTCTGGACCAGTATACCTGAAAGGATTTTATAAATATGAGTTTCATGATACATAGTGTTGTTTCTCCTCTGAGTAGGCTTAAACGTGGATGTTTTGTAATTGTCTGTTTTCACCCTGTGCTGCCTTTTTATGCTTAGGTGGTTTAGTTATATATTAGAACAGTAGAGTGCATTGATCTGATTGGTCAAGCGCATCCAGGTCCCCCCTCGTTGAGCAAAACAAATTGATCTATGAAAATCTCTTTGATTGGTGAGGTGTTAGGGGAGATAAGGAGATCTGACAGGGTCAGGCTTGCACAGGTAAAGGCCAATTTATACTTCTGCGTCGAGTGTACGCCGTAGTGTACGGCGTGGGCTACGCACGTAGGCGACGCCGTCATGAGCATTTATACTTCTGCGTTTAGGTCTGCGTTGCTCTGCAGTACAGCGCCGAAACGCTAGTTGGCGGCGGATGGTTTTAATGTTCCACTGTGTTTAGATTCCTCGCGGCAAGAAGAAGAAGATTCCTCGCGGCTGTTTTGAGTTTAGGTTACTACAAGCAATGGCGACTGAAAGAGAGCAGATCATGTTGGAGTTGGAGCTTATCGAGGTGGAAAAGGTAAATTTTTAGTTTTTTTT